AATCCTACTTCCATAGTGATACTGCCTCGGAAACCCAAAGAGGGGTTGCTATGAGTCGGGGCCGACTTGATGGCAAAAAACAACAACAAACATTTTATGTTCCTAGAGCCTATGATTATAAACTTTTTGTTATCAAATATGTTCCCATAAGGTCCTTTATCTAAAAACTTCAGAAAAACTAAAGTAGGTAGTATGTATATGTGGTGAAAATAACATACTGAGAATATTTGCCATGAAATCATTTAGAGGCATACAAACAACATTTTACAGTATATCTATAAAAGAAACTTCAAATGAATAAATTCTCATTCAGGAATATTTTTCAGTACCTTCTGCAAAAACTCAGACTTACCCATTTCATAATAGGGGCCCAGAAAAAAACTGTTCTGGGGCCTGAAAAAAACAAACAAAAAAAAGGTTCAGGATAAAATCAAATATTTCATACATGTCTTTTAACAGCTATCACCACAGTTCAAACAACCAGAGATTTATTAATCTATCTCTAACAATTCTACTATGCTTTCTGCATATTACACATTTAAGTTAGTATTAAGTTAAAGGTGCCACAGTATCACAGTTTCAATCTTCCATATAACTTACTTTGATCTCCTTGTTAGTTATCTGTATTTTTGTGATGTGTTAAAATTTTGCTAACATATAATGACAATAGTTTTGGAACCCATGCCCAATGCTTTGCCTTAAACATCACACTTACTGTTAATTCAGTCACAAATATTATTCAACTTGGGAAGTTGCAAATTTTGGCATTTGAGTGATATGAGCTTCAGTAGATAGGCATATATATTCACTAATTTTATTGAGTTCCATAAATAACATTTCACTGTATATGTTGTGATAAAAAATACTTAGAAAATTTTACACATTCTAGTAAAAATATTAATGAACCTAATTTTAAGAGTCACATGGGAAAGAGGAAAAACTAGACATATTAAGTTCCTTAATAGCAAGGTCCAAGGAGACATGGAGGCTGGATGAACCTGGAACCATGGAGGCAGAATGAACACCTGAATCCATTTCCCTAATATAATCTTTAAAACCCTTAAACCAAATATTCCCTGAAATCTTCTTAAAACCAAACAATAGTTTAGCTTAATTGGTAAAAATGTCTACCTTGAGCATTAAGTAAAGGAGCTCTGCTGGCACTGTGGTACTAACCACAGTTGGGCTGCTAATCAAAAGGTCGGTGGTTCGAATCCACCAGCCACTCTGGGTGAAAGATGAGGCAGTCTGCTCTGTAAAATATATAGCCTTGGAAACCCTATGGAGTAGTTCTACTCTGTCCTATAGGGTCGCGATGAGTTGGAATCGACTTGATGGCAGTGGTTTTGATTTTGAGCATTAAGCTCTTTTAAGAACTATCTATATGGGATCAAGAGCTGACAACAGCAAGTCAAAAGTTTGTACGAAAACCTTAGGAGGAAGTGAGTTTATGATAATGTTGGAGGAAGAGCTCAGAAAAAGAGGGTGAGAATAGTTGTACAACTCTAAGAATATAATCAATGTCACTGAATTATACATGTAGAAAGAGTTGAATTGGTGTATTTTGCTCTCAACATCAAAAGTTAAAATTAGTATTGAAAATAATTCTGGTTTGTTAGGTAACATAGAATTTGAAAAACATAATGTAGCAGAGATTGAAGGAAACTCAGAGATCATCTAATCTGAATTGTTCATTTTACCATGAGGCTCAGAGAATTTAAGTTCTGTGACCTACACAAGCCATGGAGTTAGTAAGCAGTGGAATTGTGACTAGAACCTAAGCCTTCAACTTTTTAAGCTCAAAACTCACTGCCATTGGGGGTCGATTCCGACTCATAGCGACCCCTCCTTGGGTTTCTGAGGTGGTATCTCTACAGAAGTACATTGCCCAATCTTCCTTCTGAGAAGTGGCTGGTGGGTTTGAACTACCAGCCTTCTGGTTAGCAGTCAAATGTCTTAGGCACTATGCCACT